GTGGACCAACAGGTGGAATATTTCTATAAATAATAGAAAGTCGCAGCACTGCAACTTCACTCTTAATGGAAAGATCCTCCCTAGGGTTGATCTCTTGATGACATCGCCATCCCACAAGCACCACAGGCGCAGTATTTAGGTCTGATCCTGGAAAAGCGGCTCACCTGGAAGCAGCACACAACGAAGGTAGCAGCTTCCTGTCGTACTAAGCTTAAAAAGCTCAACTGGATGCTTAGACCAACGAGCAAGCTCAGCCTTGGCAACAAAATGTTGCTATTTAAGTCAATTGTTGTGCCTTCGATGACTTACTGCATCCAATTGTGGGGCATGGCTTCTGACTCGAACGTAATGAAGGTCTAAAGAATCCAAAACCGAGCGCTGCGCTTGATTGCTAATGCCCCCTGGTACGTAAGAAACAAAGCCTTGGCAAGTGGCCTCCACATTCCCTTTATCAGGGAGCAGATCAACAGGCATTCAAGTCGTTATAATGAACGTCTTACGGCTCACACCAATCGCCTAGCGGCTTCATTGGCCAACACGTCAGTCAGAAGAAGGCTCAAACGTAGACATCCCGCTGATCTCTGGACAAGAGGAAGACATATCTCGCGAGTCTTAAAGCTGTAAATAGCATTTTCCACTTGTCATTAAAAATTTGTTAATTTGTTTCCATTTCGGTTAAGTGCCATGTTATTTTTGTTCATATTTATAAGCAGCGTTTTATAGCCATTAAGTTGGTTGATCAACGTTAAGAAAATTTGTTTAATGTTATGCCAAAAAAAAAAAAAAAAAAAAAAATTGGCAGAATGTTCATAAAAAGACGAAGTATTATAATTTTTATTATTAAGAAAGACAAATTCGAAACAATGTTAATTTAAGAAATAAAAAAATTTAATGTTTAAAAGGAAGTATAAATAAACAAGAAGAGCAAGATTTAAGTTGATAAATTAAATGAAATAAATAATTACAGTCCACTAAATCTTTAAGACATAATTATACATAAGCAATGTAATATGTAAATCTTATGTCAGTTTTGCCGGCCTTTGCAAAATGTTCAGAAAGAACACACGAACACGTATATACATAGATAAGATGAATATGTTAGGTGCTAAATATCTGCAGCAATGCACTGTACTTATCTATCTATAAGTACAACCGGCACTTGGGCCTACGTAAATACAAGCAACCCGAAATATGAACTCCTGCGAGCGGTCTGGGTTTATTTAAGATACCATATGTGCTATCGGGGTGACTGTGTGCTCCCTTATCGAACTTAGAGAATTTCCCACGATCGGGAACTGTCCGATGCGTGGGTCTAGAACTAAGATCAATAATGTACATTCTCATTTTAGCTATTTAAGCTAGGATTTGAATAAATAAATATCATTCTAAACTTATTCATTAGATATGATTTAAAATTTTTCATAGTTTCCTTATTCTTTGTTGATATTACCAAGTCATCTACATATAATAGAGCATAAATATTTGAAGATATATCTTCTTTATCAAGAAGATATATACATCGATCTACTGGTGAATTAACAAAACCCATTTATTTCAATACTAGCTCAAATTTATCGAACCAGCACCTTGCAGCTTATTTTAAACCATATATTGCTTTACTTAATTTACAAACTTCATATTTTCATATAAATTTCTCCTTTTAGTGTACCATTCAAAAAGGCTGTTTTAACGTCCATATGGTGTACCATAAGATCATACTGATTAGTAATAGAAATAATCAGTCTAAAACTAGAAATTCTTGCAACAGGTGCAAAGGTTTCATTATAGTCAATTAAGTATTTTTTGTGTAAAGCCCCGAGCTACGAGTCTCGCCTTATATTTAATCGGATGTGTTCAGTCGCTGCAGTATATATATAATTCATAATCATAACAATACATAATATGTAATTCGTCAGTCGCAGCACTCTCATATGCTGCCAAAATAAAGTATCGATTACCAGGTCAAGCGCATATGTAGATTCTGCTGACGCGATGAAGTGGGATGGAGCAATAGCCTCATTCTGCATATACCATTACAACCTACATTATTCTTGCACATCAATATTTGTAACCAGAAGCATATTTGTTTCCGCATGCACTAGCAACCTACATTATTCTTTATTATTAATATTCGTAAATGCAAGCACTTTGTTAGCTATAAATATCGTTAAGTTTGAATCAATAAAGTCAGTAATCATCTGCAATTCAAAGAGATCTTTACTCCGCCAACTGCAGTCCACCTAGTTCAAGTGCTGGGTGCGACACAAACAAGGCAATTAGTTTATGTGCTATTTTGCCAGGCATCGAAGCCTACTCACACTATCAAACACTCATACAAACATTTTGGTGACCCCGACAGTTCACGTCCTGCCGACAATTCACGTCCTGACGTCCTGCCGACAATTCACGTCCTGACGACAATTCACGTCCTGACGACAATTCACATCCTAACGATCAAATCCTAAGGACAATTCAGGTCCTGACGATCAAGTCCTAAGGAAAATTCAAGTCCCACGAGTCAAGTTCCCCAACTCTTGGAACAATCCTGGGCATCCATTGAAATAATCCTTCCACTAGAACTCAGAGTCTAGTGTGTTCTCCAAGTCAATTGAACAAGTGCTAATTTTTTAGACCACAAACGGTTGCGAAACGGAGCGTATCCAGCTTAAAAGCGAATAAAACACTCCCAACGGGTCAAAAATATAGCACTTTTCAACATGACTAGCATGGAGGAGCGAGCAGCCACAGAGGCGTTAGACTTGCAGGAAGAGATCAGTCAAGAGATCTCAAAACTGATCCGCAATTTCAAGAAAGATTCTGCGGAGAGGAAACAAAACCCAACATACTTTAAATCTAAGTTGGCCGCAATCGATGAAGCGTGGAATCGATTTGCGGAAAATGACCGTAATGTTCTGGAGAAATATAGAACCTCGGAATATCTAAATTTTTACAAAGACTGTCGTGACTCATGCGACAAGTATCGAAGCGCCATAACTGACGCAATGGCTCAAACTACGAGCCATGCCCAAGAAAACGCAGACGCTGCAAGCATACAGCAGCCTGTGGGCAAACTCATGTCGGCATGTCGCCGACAAAGAGCCATATCAGACTCTATCCATCGGGCTCTGAAAGAATTTTCAGAGACTGGAAAAACAATTACAAGTGATTTGATAAAATCACTATGGTCACAAGTTCAGGAGATCCACTTCGCTGTTCATGAAGAACACGAAGACCCGGTCAGGGGAGGATACGACATGCAGTCATTTCTCCGACTGGAAAGGGATATCCAAAAGGTGTTAGGGGCAAAAACTAATGCATCGAGCAATGAAGATGTACACTTGCCCAGAGTTAGCATCCCCAAATTCGATGGGGATCTACTCAAATGGACGCAGTTTTTTGATTTATTCAAATGCATGGTCCATGACACCAACATGCCGACAGTACGGAAAATGTGGTATCTAAAAACCACCGTAACTGGAGAGGCAGAGAGATTGATAAGACACATCGATCTAAAAGAAGAAAATTACGCAAGCGCATGGGGCATATTGGTTGATGAATACAACAATCCCCGACACGTAGCCGACACGATTCTTAATCGGCTCTTCAAACACCACACAAATAGTGACGATCCGAAATCACTGAAAGAGTTGTATATAACAACTATCGAGTCCCTGGCATCATTAAGGGGACTAGGAATCGATGTATCCAGCTGGGATACAATATTGATTGCTATCATCAAGCAAAAATTGGATATTACTAATAGAGCCTTGTACGAACAGTCGTTGGATGGTTCTCGACAACTGCAAGGTCTCGACACAATACTTAACTTCCTCGACCAGAGAATTCGCGTACTGGGAACAGGAAAAAGAAGTCAACAAGCAAAAAGGGATCAGAAGGGGCCAACATGCACTTCTGCCAGCGCTGGAAAATTACCAAGCTGCCCATTTTGCAAACGGAATCATTGGCTATACAAATGTGATGACTTCCGTAATAAACCAATACCCGAACGACTTAACTGGGTACAAAAACAACGAATGTGTGTCAACTGCTTCAGCAGCGACCACAAGGCAAAGGAATGCCGAGGCCGTTTGTGTTTTAAATGCGATAAAAAACACCATACATTGCTGCATCTTGAAACGTCATCAGGTGCAGCAACTGAACCACAATCACCTTCTGTAGGGGCAGCAAGTAACAAGAGTTACAATCTGCTGGCCACAGTCAAGGTATTAGTAAAAGCAAGCAATGGCCAGGTGGCCACTTTCAGAGCTCTGCTTGATTCAGGATCTCAAATAAACTTGATCTCTGAACGAATGGCTTCAAAGCTATCATTAAGGCTCCACGGTACTTCATTACGTATCGAAGGTATTGGAGGCAATCCTAAGACTAGTCGAGCTAGAGTAAATGTGCAAATGAAATCAATGCATAACGACTTTACTCAGCAAGTCGAGGCTTTCGTGTTACCACACATTATAGCCGATCAACCGGCTCATCAGCTAGATCCAACAAATCTACGACTCCCTCAAAACATCGCTCTGGCAGATGCAAGCTTTGATAAGCCAGGAAAAATTGACATGCTTATCGGAGCTGAGCACTACTATTCGTTACTACTGCCAAACCAGATGATGTTAAAACCAGGCGGCCCGGTCCTACAGAATACTAAACTTGGTTGGATTGTCGCCGGGAAAGTATCTGCAGAAAACAACCAAGCAGCAATTTGCGCGCCTGTAACCACAGAGGACCAAATCGACACGCTTTTGGAACGTTTCTGGACTTTGGAAAACCTAGAAACGGAAGAGAAACCAAAATCACCGATAGAGGCTCATTGCGAAAGACACTTCCTAGGAAATCTCCAATTCGCAGCAGATGGAAGGTTCATAGTAAAGCTTCCCTTTTCTGAGCAATCATCAGCCCTGGGGGCATCGCAGAAAACTGCAACTAACAGGTTCCTGGCACTAGAGCGCAGAACATCACCTGAAGTCTGGAAAGGTTACGTAGATTTTATGGACGAGTATGAAGGCCTTGGACACATGAAAGAAGTGCCTCCCACAAGGATACCTACGGATCACTACTTTATCCCGCACCACTGTGTGCTAAAACCTGAGAGCAGCACTACAAAACTTCGGGTAGTGTTCGATGCTTCCTGCAAGACCACCAGCAACAAGTCGTTAAATGATATATTGTATGCTGGACCCACCGTACAGAGCGAACTGTTTGCAATTTTACTACGGTTCCGCACTCACAAGTACGTGTTCACAGCCGATATAGAGAAAATGTATCGCCAGGTATGGATACATCCTGATAATCAATTTTATCAATTAATCGTCTGGCGAAAGAATCCATCAGACGAACTCAAGTATTATCGACTTAAAACCGTAACATACGGTACAACATCAGCTCCATTCCTAGCTACAAAATGCTTGGATTACTTGGCTGAGAAAACCAAAAAGAATTTACCGCTTGGAGCAGCCGTGCTCAAGCATGATTTTTATGTAGACGACTGTCTAACAGGAGCAAATAGCATCCCAGAAGCAGTTCAGATTCAACAAGAGCTAAACAAAATACTGCTACCAGCCGGATTCAAGCTCCGAAAGTGGTGCTCCAACAATGACGAAGTTCTAGCACAAATTCCAAAGGAAGACGTAGTCAGCTACGTCAAATTAGACGAAACCCTTCAACACTACAGTGTGAAAACATTGGGTTTGATCTGGGTACCAAATAAGGATCAGCTATGTGGGCGATCCCAAAAAAGTGAAGCGTCAACCATCACCAAACGAGTAGTGAGCTCGGAGGCATCACAAATTTTCGATCCACTAGGACTATTCGCTCCTGTTGTGGTAAAGGCTAAGATATTCATGCAAAGCCTGTGGGAGCTGAAGATGGGCTGGGACGACGAGCTTCCTCAACTTCTGCAAACTGAGTGGAAAAATTATCGTGCTGATCTACAAGCATTGAACAATTTGCAAATTCCACGGCACATCTTTGACGGAAAGGTGCCCATTAATCAGGAAATTCACACGTTTGTCGATGCATCAGAGCGGGCATACGGAGCAGCAATCTATGTCCGAGCCACATATAAGAACAATCAAGTGTCTGTTCGGCTACTGTGCTCAAAGTCAAGAGTAGCGCCGACAGCAAAAAGAGACGCTGCCTCGCCTGGAACTATGCGCCGCAGTATTGGGAGCAGAGCTAACCCACAGGGTGAGGAAGGATTTACGCATACCAAACGATAAGGTACCTGGATACTTATGGTCAGATTCGACTGTGGTGCTGTCCTGGATAAATGCATCAGCATCATCATATCACACATTTGTGGCAAATCGAATCGCAAAAATCCAAGCTGTTTCAGACCAATCTCAGTGGCGTCACGTATCGTCAGCTAACAATCCAGCAGATGTACTATCAAGAGGAATTGCCGCCAGCAGGTTAGCAGAACACAATCTATGGCTATATGGACCTCTATTTCTACATGGCTCTCGCGACAAGTGGGCTCAGGTACCAACTACCACCCCCAGCGATCTAGAACGCAGGCTCAATCACATAAGCTTGCCCACATGTCAAAATGAAATTGGCAGTGTACTCTACAAGTGCAACCACAGCAACTCCTTCAATAAGCTACAACGTATTGTAGCATATATGATGCGGTTCTGTAACAAGAAAAACAGATCACCCACAACTACATTGTGTGTCGGTGAGTTAACCAATGCAAGGACCATCATCCTGCGAACTATCCAGCAAATTGATTTTAGTGCTGAATACAAACAACTCCGAATCCACAAAACATTGGACAAAAAGAGCTCGATTGTCTCCCTATGTCCTATAATCGGAAACGACGGACTGATCAGAGTCGGAGGTAGATTAGAAGAATCTAGCCTTCCATATAACGCGAAGCATCAAATTTTGCTTCCATACAACGATGCACTTGTGAAAATGCTACTGCGAGAGATGCATGAAGAGAACATGCATTGCGGGGCTCAAGCTTTAAGAGCCATTGCCAGGCAACAATATTGGATTCTCAATGATAAAACAATGGCAAGAAGCATAATTCACAGCTGTGTCAGATGTACAAAGGCACGGCCCAAGTTGATGCAACAAATCATGGGCAACCTACCAGCTGACCGAGTAACACAAGCTCGGCCATTCTTTAACTCTGGTGTTGACTACTGTGGACCGATTTGGATTCATCACAAACTACGTGGAAAAAGACCTGATAAGGCTTACATTGCAGTCTTCTGCTGTTTTGCAACAAAGGCAGTTCATCTGGAGTTAGTAAGTGATTTGACAACAGATGCATTTTTAGCTGCACTTCGACGATTTTTGGGTCGACGCGGAAAATGTCAGACTATTCACTGTGACAACGCAACAAACTTTGTCGGTGCCAATAATCAATTGAAGGCCCTAGAGGGAGCTATATTCACCGACAAGGCTCAAGAACAGATTATAAACCATTGCAATAAAAAGCAAGTGGAGTTTAAGTTCATACCGCCCCGAGCACCATCGTTTGGCGGGCTTTGGGAAGCTGCGGTGAAATCTGCAAAACGGCTTCTAGTATCAGTCACAGCCACAGCGTCATTAACATTTGAGGAGCTTAACACCGTAATCGTGGAAGTCGAAGCAATCCTCAATTCCCGACCGCTGACACCAATGTCATCTGATCCAACAGATACATCAGCTCTGACTCCTGGCCATTTTTTGATTGGTGAACCGTTGACCGCCGCTCCCGATGCAAATCTAGCCTCACCAGGGAAAACGTTGGTGAAAAGATGGGAATTAGTGTCCAGATTAAAACAAATGTTCTGGGACCAATGGTCTATGGAGTACCTACAAGAGCTTCAAATGCGCAACAAGTGGAAAACCGCATCACAAAACGTGAAAGAGGGACTACTTGTGCTAGTCAAGGAAGACAACGTGCCTGTAATGAGTTGGCCAATGGGACGAATAGTGAAGACATATCCTGGTAAGGACGACCATGTCCGAGTAGTAGATGTAAAGACTGCATCTGGGATCTTCAAACGGTCAGTAACTCGTCTCGCGCCACTGTTAAAAGAAGAAACAGCCATCAAACGTCCGCACAGTGCCACCGAAGATACAACGTCAAAGGATGACATGCCAACACAGAGGAGGAAGGTGTCACCCCCGATCCTTCTAACATTGCTGGCAATGTTGCTCATTCTGCCACTAGCGATGGGACAACAGACAAAGGTCACGCACTTCACAAATCAGCCAGGTCTATTCTATGAAAGAATCGGGACCTCTAGAATGGCAATTTCAGATTGGACCATCATCGTATACTACGACTTGCAACCCTACTGGAGTGATATGAGAATATTGGCGGCCGGGATAACTGAACTCAAACACAAGTGTTCAGAATTACAAAACGTCAATGCATGTAACTCTATATATGCGCACTTCCAACACGTACATGCCGAATTACAAGCCGGAAATGAGCTTATTAATCACTCACGGCAGCGAAGATCACCGCTAGATATAGTCGGAAATGTGGCGAACTCATTATTTGGCGTGCTGGATTCCAAATATGCTGAAGATATGTCCAAGGTCATAAACGATGTCAAATCAAACGAGGACATCTTAATGATGCTACTGAAGAACCAAACATCAATCTTGGATTCCACTATCAATGTGGTAAGGAAAAGCAATTCAGCTACCAACGACCGCATACGAAACATAGAACGACAAATAGATGCGCTCACCAGAGAACGAGGAAAATATCAAGGCAACTACCTGCAACAAGCATTCATGATCCTGACAGCCCAGCTCACTCTACTGGCAAATGGAATGCAGCGAATGCAAAATGAGATAACCAACGTTCTTACCGACATTCGCCACCGAACAATTAGCCCCATGCTAGTTTCTCCCCAACAATTAAGGGATCAACTTGATCAGATTAGGGAGCACATCCCACCGGATCAACAGCTACCAGTCTCTTCAAATGACGTAATACAACTCTATCGAATCATGCATGCCGAGGGAACAACAACCACTGACCATGTTATCTTCAAAATAACGCTGCCATTAGTATCCACAGCGCAGCAAGAAGTTTTCAGCGTCATTCCCATCCCTGCATGGAAGGCAGGAAGCTGGCATGAATTCAAGCTCAAAACAAGGATCATAACTGTCAATGCCCATAGAGATCAATTCATGGGACTAACTACTGACGAGTTTGATCAATGTCTACAATTGCCAAAGGATGAACACATATGCGTCAATCATCAAGCTACGTTCAGCGTAGATAATCGATGTGAATTTCAGTTGTTCAATAACAAAACTGAAACGGAATGTGAGACTGTTAAATCGAAGTCCGATTTAATATGGTCAGCAACACATCAACGAAACAGATGGATGTTTGCAACCCACAGTCCGATCGAACTGCAGGCGGTATGCACGGGAGTTCCCTCCACAGTACAAATGGAAGGAACAGGCTTGCTATCACTCGCCGCAGGTTGCACGGCGCGCAACTCAAAAATCAGTGTTAGTACATTTAGCACAAGGCGCAGCGAGACAAAAGCAGCATATGTTCGTTTTGGCAACATCACCAAGATAGACATAGAAGAGACACCGAAACCAGTCGGAGAATCGACAACCAAGATAACCGACGCCGAATTAGGCGAAATAGATGCCCTACAACAACAACTGGCCAAACTAAAAGATGCGAAGTACGAAAATCAAGTCAGCGTTGTACACCATCATCAAGTAGCCGCCTATGTGGCACTATCAATATCAATACTACTGATCGTGACCCTGAGTCTACGATATCGGCGAATCAATTGGAGAACACCACAATGCAGCCCCAATCCCCGGACAACAAGTGAACAACCAGCACCCGAACCTACCCCACGGAGTTTTTCGTTCGACATTACTGAAGGTTGAACACCCGTTCAACGGCCGGGAGAATGTTCAGTCGCTGCAGTATATATATAATTCATAATCATAACAATACATAATATGTAATTCGTCAGTCGCAGCACTCTCATATGCTGCCAAAATAAAGTATCGATTACCAGGTCAAGCGCATATGTAGATTCTGCTGACGCGATGAAGTGGGATGGAGCAATAGCCTCATTCTGCATATACCATTACAACCTACATTATTCTTGCACATCAATATTTGTAACCAGAAGCATATTTGTTTCCGCATGCACTAGCAACCTACATTATTCTTTATTATTAATATTCGTAAATGCAAGCACTTTGTTAGCTATAAATATCGTTAAGTTTGAATCAATAAAGTCAGTAATCATCTGCAATTCAAAGAGATCTTTACTCCGCCAACTGCAGTCCACCTAGTTCAAGTGCTGGGTGCGACACAAACAAGGCAATTATTTTATGTGCTATTTTGCCAGGCATCGAAGCCTACTCACACTATCAAACACTCATACAAACAGGATGACCAAATTCATTTCGTTTTATTGTAAATACCCATTTACAATTCACTACATTTTTGTTTTCGGGTAATTGCACAAGTGTCCAAGTGTTATTTAGTAAGTGTTAATCTAACTCTTCATTTATTGCTTCTACCCATTTTTCTTGATCACCTCTATTTATTATTTCATTAAATGAAGTTGGTAAATTATCTAATGAACACTGAGCATTCATTATAAAATTATTTAATATATCCCAATAAAACAATTTTGGCTTATTCTTTATCCGGTCACTTTTTCGTATTGTTTCGTTATTTATCTTTGAATCATTAGATTCAACATCACCATATACATCTGGATCGGCATTCTTTTCTGTTACCATCGTTCTCTGACTTCCATCTGAAACTCCATCTGAACCGTCATTTTCTACTTCAATTGGAACTATGTCAAGAACACTATCAATTTCCAATTGATCATCAATTTGATTGATATTATTGAAATCATCATCTAAAAATTCGATAATCCCATTATCAAAATCAATAATTTCTTCACTTAACTAAACTCTTGAGTTTATCATGTTATGTTTACGCCAGGAGGCCCCTCTGCTCCCCCTCTGCCCACCGAGCGTCCAAAAGCTCAAGCGTTCCCAGCTTGGCAACGCTCGCCCGCTCTGCGCTCCTCGGTATTCCCGATCGCACGCTCCCGTGCTCCCGATCGTCGCTCGCTTCTAGACGAGCCGCTCCAATTCACGGTTCTCCCGCTCTCCCGCTCTCCCGTTCTCCCGCTCTCGCGCTGTTAAGCTGGGCTTCTCGGCCGGCAGCGGGCCCTTAGGCTAAGTTAAGTTTTAGTTCCAA